TCCGTGTGATCGGAAATCTCCAACAGGCTGCTGTTCTGATTCTATTGCCACATCCAAGACAAGCTGCCCTGTGTTATTTCTCCAGATACCTTGTCTAAGCTCCCATACTCTTCAGCGCAGCTGGAGATCTGGAATAGGCCACGCCTGCCTCCATTCCAGTGCCAGTGCTGCTATTGTTCCCATTCTACTACCAGAACAAGCGGCCCGTACCTGCCTCTTGGTAGCTCACTTCACCAAACATATGGGGCATCTAGGTGTTGGCCCCCCTCCTTTTTTAGACAGCTGTTCGGTGCAACTGGGAATCTCCAACAGGCTGCCGTTCTCATTCTTTAGCCATATCCAAAGACCAGCTGTCCTTTGCTCTCTCTACTCCATTCACCACGCACCCTTTCTGATGGCAAGGATGCTCAGTCCTTGTCTGAGCTCCAATGCCTCAGCCTCCAATCCAGTACCGCTTCTGGTCCCATGCGATTCTACGGCTTTGTATTTACCAGGCTAAGCTGCCTCCTGCGCATTTTTCAAGTATCTCACTCCTAGCAAGGTCTTGGCCCTTTAATTTTATAGACAGTGATGTTCTGTGCAGCTTGAAGTTTCAGGCTGCTGTTCTGATTTTATTGCCACATCCAAGACAAGCTGCCTTGTGTTATTTCTCCAAATACCTTGTAAGCCCCAATGCTCTTCAGTGCAGCTGGAGATCTAGGGTAGGCCACGCCTGCCTCCATTCCAGTGGCATCAGCATGCACCAGAAGCAGCTTGAAAAAGTCATTGGGCTTCCTGTTAGCCATTTTGGCTTAATCGCTGCTGTTGGATCCATGGCTTGTACAGCGAGCTAATTAACCTTAGAGTTGAATGTCCCATTGTGCAACTTGGGGTTAGTTTGGGACACACATGATCAAAGATCTGAAAACGTTCGAACGTGTGGAAATACCTGGACACGTGACGCGTGTCAGCACGCTCGATTTTGTTGGCGCTTTTCCCGCTTCGTTTTATAGGGCGAGTGTGGGTCACAGCGTGCCGTTTTATGCTGCACCTTGTAGGTTGGACCTCTCGATTTATAAGCATGTTGAGGGTCACACCCCCCGAAGTACAACTATCCAATGGCGAGTGAGACTTACACCATGTTTTGGATCATAGACCCTGAGACCCTATATTCCCGTAGGACTTTAACCAGGCAACCACCTCCTGAGAAGGTATGTGGTGGGTTTGGGGGTCTAGCCGCCACCCTCTGAAGATAGGCTTAGAGCCCTAAAAAGATCCCAACACCAGCGGCACACCACAGTAACCCCATCTTCTGTGTTTTCCACCGCCCAGGTCCGACCGCGGGCTCCACCAGCGAGACTTCCATGTCCCGAACCTCTGATCTTCGTCGGGAAGAACGCTTGGCCTCTTCGGCAGAAGGCGTTTCAGACAGGTTCCGCCGGGCTCCGCAAGACTTCAGAAGGCACACCAACCAGGAAAAGGCAGGATGTTCATCAAGATTCATGCACTGACTGGTGTGCAACCAGTGTTTCGAAGAAACGGTAAGACGCATTAAGACGACGTTTTGAAAAGACGTCACTTCGCTGTAAGACCGTAAGCCCTAAAGCACTTGGGAAACCGAAAGCAATGGTCCTGGTCTCGACCGGTCCGTTCACACCCCCAATGAGACATAGGCTGATTTCAATCCTCAAAGATCGGCTAGTTGGTTTGCACCTTGAGACATGCTGAAGCATCCTGAAGCTTAAAGTTAATAGAAACACAATCTATTGCACCTTGGCACATGCTGAAGCATCCTGAAACTTAAAGTTGAATAAAGAACAATCTAATTCTGAACCACCATCCACATACCTTTTGAACCTTCTTCGTTGCCGAAAGGATTCCGCCCGTCCAAGGATGCTGACCTGCGATCCCAGTGCTGCCGCAACTTCCAGTGGGGCCGGTGCACGAGGGGCGACGCTTGTCGATTTCTGCATGTGGAGAGCACTCAGGCGAGCCGCCGAGAAGTTGCCAGAGGGCTAGCCGAGAATACAGTTCCGGAACGTGTTGGCGAGGAGTGCCGCTTCTATCGGCGTACAGGATACTGCAGATATGGAGATCGGTGCAGACTCTTGACCAAAGTTGGAAGGAAGTTGCATTTTTCTTCTATTGCACTGTTCGATGGGACCTGCAGGACCTGCAGTTCCGCAGTACACTCCAAAGCAAAAAGCGCGTTGGATGTGGATGTCCCTCAGGCCTTCCAAGGGGTTCTGCTATGTTCTGCTTATTTCTGGTAGATTTAAAACCCTTCTCTTCTCCGCTGAAAGGCTTTCAAACACCTTCTCCAGGTCTTTCCATAGCTCAAACACCCCAAATGCCGAAAACAAGATTCGAATGTCCAAAACTGGGACTCATGACATCGACCAGCCAGGTTGGTGTGTGTTGCACCAAAGACATGCTCTATGGACTCTATGGGTCGAGTCCGCCGAGTAAACCTGAGGATTTCTTCATGAAGATCCAGCTGAAGGGAGACCTACACCTGTACGAATGGCTTTTGAGCTGTGAGTGCAGCCTAGCCTGACGTTTTGGTCAAGTCATTTCCCTATAGCTAAGCTAATTATTGAAGTTTGACAGAAATTAGCTTGAACTGTTGAGATTTGCTCACCACAGAGGCACCCCCTCACGCAGAACTGCGTCACGGGGCAGGATACGTTCCTGACTCGATTGTGTTCAACGCAGAAAATTCAGTGCCGACCCGCAGAGCTCCCAAGTGCCAAGACTGGATGGTGTTCCTCGTCACATTCCCTGAAATCATCGAAGTGGATGACGCCACCTGTTCTCAGAGGATCATGGTCATCGAAGGGACAATGGATCAACAACGGAGCATGTGAGTGTTGCACAAGCATTGTGTGCAGAGACCTGTTGAGCATGATCACCTTCTTGTGGCACTTGCTTGGGTATACCTTTAGGCCTGGATGCCGTACTACATAGCTACGGCCGCTGCGGCATGTTTAATGCTATTTGGATTTGCAACAATGTAGAACAGGATTGAGACCGTCATTCCTTAGAGCCAAAGAAAAAGCACAGAGAGTGGCAGTGGCAATCTAGATGATCATGACTTTATCACCGCGGGGTAGTCATGGCATGCACTGGGTAGTTTGTGTTTTCTGTGTATCGCTCGCCACCGGGTGCCACCCTGTTAAACAGGATCCTTGGCGCAAGGCCCACCGTGGCCCAAACACAGCTTGGGCAACCCTTTTGGGGCACTAGTCGGCTTCAGCGAAGATCCGAATTCCCGGGGCACGTTTGGGCCGGGCTCAGCATGAGAAGCCCTTGGTATTTCTGTCCACTTCAATGACCAGCTCCAATACCCATACAACTCTCCAAGCTGAACCCAAAAAAGGGCTGGGAGGTGCTATGCTGCTACTCTACGAGTCTTCATGAAACATCAGTTGCACCATTTGGTCCGAACGCCCCATGTCGGTTCCTGGGCCAAGGCCTTGAGCAGCAAAGTGTTGTGGCCTTGCACACCCACAAGCTTGTGTGGCTGAAAGCCAGTTTTCCTGCCCATCCCAGCAACGCAGCTAGTTTGTGGCATAGGAGAAACATATTGCAAACAGAGAGGCACACCGCTTCCGGCGCACCGCTCTTCCAGTCAGAACATCGACTTCATCGACTTGGCAGCCACCCACTAAGTCCACTGACCTCCCTAGTTCATCATGACCTCCACTGACCTGTAAGTGTTTTTGGGGTTTTGCAGTGTCGCGCCGGTTTTCGTACGCTTTTCCTCTCCAAACCCACAAAAGGTAAGTGCCTGAAAGTGCCGGACTAGAAAATAGTTTCCGCTGCCTGGATGCCGGGAACTAATATGCTTTCCTCGAGACAACAAAAAGCATATACCATGGGAGACTGGGGACGTTGATTCTTCAAACAATGGTTTCGTGCCATGCTTGGAGCTAGTTAGTGCTAAGTACCCTGTAGTGCAGCTAGTGCTTGCTTTCTCAGTCAGAAGGTGTTAAAAAGCAGCACTTTGTCATGTTTCATGCAGACAGATGACGAGAACTTGACAACATTTGATCCTTCATCCAAATGGCGTAAAGATGTGCGAAGCATTGCAAAGCTTTTTTCCATTGTCATGTCATGGTCTTCTCAACAGTCAGTATCATTGTCTTAGACACCACGTTGCTGGGTTTGGTGACTGGAACGATTGGGGTCAAAGGACCAACTTGTGTGACAGCTCAGCTCCAAAAGGTGGGGGCGAGTCGCAGGAGTGGTCGGGGGAAGGAGTTTTCCCAGGACCATGGGTCAGTTTGGAGAGAAGAAGCAGCCATGATAAGTATAGGGACCCAGGGACTAGGAATGAGAATCGAATTCTATCTTTTACTGGCTTGCGGAGCGCTGCGCCCCTTGACCTGTTAGGGGCGTGGGGCCCTTCCGATTCAAAATCCTACATGCTCTGTGTGAGTGCCCATAATTTGCGGTCGGAATTCCACACCTGAGAGCTTGATGAAGTTTCAAGTTTAAAGTAGTTATATATAAGTGCTATGTATAATATGGAATATAAGATTCCAAACCTGGTTTTGCTTAGTTAGTTGATTTATACTGGTCCTATCGGTAAATCCCCTGGGTGTGTGTTCCCCAGTTCCTTAAGCAAATTGGAAAAAGGCAACACATATTATATTAGACTATTAAAACTATGATATACTATGATTATATATATAATATGGTTGCAGACATCTGACCATGCTGTACGTGCCACAACAAATGTGCAAATCTGATCAAGCACATGTCCAGAGGGATAAGATTCGTTGCTTTGAAGTATCAAGGGGCGGCTATTGGAGGGCTTGTGTGTGCTCATTTAACATGATCCACTCACTTTGCTCGGAAAGGCCAGGCCAAAAGGAACTGGTTGAACTTCTCGCTACTAGTAACAAGTGCATCGCTACTAGTAACAAGGGCATCGTCATTAGTACGCTAATTTGCTTCTAGTAACAAGACGCTCCTCTTCAGCAGTCACAGGGTCTTCATCCTTTGCCGCCGCAGAGGTGAAACGACCCCGCCTGGAGAACACCTTGAAGGTGGGAAGACGAACGGGACTTCGTAATTGTCTCTAGGGATTCCAAGGCCACGAGGAGAAAGAATGGTCTACATAAACATAAAAACATATACAAACGAAATGGTCTAAAGGTCTAACAAAGGCTGTGCAGTCCTGACGTTGGGATTGGAGACTTGCAGATCCAAGTGATCCATCCCTGAGCTCGACTGTGCATGATCAACGACTGCTCTCCCAAGATATCGGACCCCTTCCTGCACACACACAAAAAGAAACAAGGGCACAGGTGGGCACAGGAAGAAACGCAATGACCACCCGTTCTCATAGGACCATGTTCCAGGTTGATGGACACATATGAACACTCATGCCACAAAATCATAGGTGTTGGAAACGGCGGAAAAAAGTCATGGACATTCACTGAAGATGTTTGAAACACCCAATGTATCCCAACAAATTTATGGAGCCAAGACTGAGACACTCTGGCGTGAGAGCATGTGTAGCCCCCTCTCACACATGGATCATCCCGTCATTTAATGTTATTTAGATCTATTTGGTTACATCAATGTTGCTGCTTTGCATGGATCACACATGTTCTGTCAAATATATGTGGCCAATCTACGTGGTTTGTTTCGCCTGCCATGTTGCTACTGCAGATCCTTCAGAACCTGCGACACAGACGCGTCTACACAGCCACGTTCCACGTTCCAAAAGGGTCTATAGATGTCTATATAACGATATGTCAGGAAAGCGAATAAAGCTTCATTTGTTTTATTGGACCTTCGTTCGGCTGGCCGGTTTCCTGCCGTGACTCGAATGTTCTGACAACCATCTCGATCAGTTTTAGCCTATTCCCCCTTTGTATTGGGACGATAAAGCTTCTATTTGTTTGTTTCCTCGGGGGGGTCGTGTGTTGTTGCATTGTTTGGGCAGTGAACGCCGCAGCGGCAAGGTCTGGCGAGTCTTTTGGGGAGGAGAAGAGATCGAAGAAAAAGAGCGGAAAGAAACAAAAAAGGCAGCCTTGCAGAGGTCGAATATATATATATATATATTAGATATAATAAGCTATGTGTTTGGGTGGCCCTTGCATCACATGTTTGTCCACCGACTCTGCCTGAGTGATCGCTAGCGTTTTTTCGTTTGATTCCAAGAGGCCCAGCCGCGGATCCTTCCGACGCCGTGGATCCTTCACCAATCCGGAGCTGTTGAAGCATGTATTGATTCGTTTGCAGTGGATCCTGCTTCGAGTGTTTCCTGGACGGCAATGTTGGAGGTTTCAAAAGGCTTGGCTATAGGAAGCTATGTCAATCACGTGATGTGGAGATTGCAGTGAAGTGTGCTAAGTCTATTTATTTGTCTAAGCCTGCCGTAAATTCGCCAAGACTAGGTTGTTTGTATTTGCCAGTGTGAACGGAAAGGGCGGCCACGTGGGAACGTGTTTGGCGCTTTTGGACCTCCACGTCGATGCCGCCGTGGTGGTCGATGTGATTCCTTTTTCTCGAACCCAATTCTGGGAGTTGGGGGTTCTATTGATCAGTCGAGCTTGGTCTTAAATAGGGAGTTTGTCCCAATCTTCGTTTTCGTTTCGGGATGTCGTTTCGTTCTTTAGAGCTTGGAGGTGAAGCCAGGTCCAAGCACCTTGGGGCTGTTGTAGATGGTAGTGTGTTAATTTTGTGACATATAATATATATATATATATATTTATGATATTTATGTATATACGTATATACCTATATGTAGTTATGGTGGTGTGAAAAACACGGTGACTCTGTGAATTGGAAACCAAATGCTTGTGTGGTCTACAGCAAGTCTCACTCAAATCTCATCCAGCTGTATCCTGGTGAAGCTTGTTTTCTTGCAGCCGTTGGGCTCCTGTACATGCGTTGGTCAACAAGAGCTGCACGTGTGGCATCCCGGAAAACACGTTGGAATCTGTCAAGAATCCACATCAAAACTCTCGGCCTATACAAGTGGATTGCCAGCTATGACGGCAGTCATTTTAGAGTGTTTTGAAGCCCTTGCACCTACGTCCTGACATCCTGGGACTTGCAAAACAATTTCCAGAACAGTTTAGCATTTTTTGGAGTGCAACAATCATCCACCAGAAGGCTCATCTCTTGAACCATTGAACTCAGTCGGAGCTTCTGAACCGCATCTTCCGGTCACCGACCTTGTCAGCTCGGTCGCGGAACGGTCGCGGAACGGAACAACCGCATTTCGCGTTTCACCCCACTCCAGCCATCGAAACAAACGGCCCTGCGACGGGGGCGACAGCTGACCCGCTGTCGACCTGAACAAAAACTCAGGCCAGTCAGACCTGAAGGGCCTCAAGGTGGTGGAGCTGTGAAGGTACCAGACAAAAAGATAAAGTCATCATTTGTTTGGAGGCATTGCCACCATTTGCTACTAGGATGCTACTATATAGGGGCTCCTGGCATCGCTACTAGGAACAAGGACGCTACTAGGGGCTCCTGGCCTTACTACTAGGAGCAAGAAGCTACTAGCAACAATTGCCACCATTTGCTACCCTGCCTTGGGGAGAACGGGTCTGAAAGACTTTAGGGAACGGTTCCTGTATCGACGAAAAATGAGTCTCCCACCAACGCCACCATGGCCACCATGGCCCATGCAGTTCGTTTCTCCCACCAGCGAGACGGCGTTTTCTTTGGCAGGAGTTGTGTTTTTTCTCCGGAGATTCCTGAATTGATTTTGGTTGGTGTTTTTCAGATGCAAAAAAGGATGGTGATGTCCCAGGCCAACTAAGATGTTCAAAGATAGATCTGAAACATCCACTTTCCAACGATCAACTCAAATGCTTCAATAAGACAACCTCTTCAGTTTATATAAGAAGGAACCACTCAGATATTCTGAAGGACTCCCACAGTCTGCACACACACTTATGATTATGCGTACTGACTTGACAGCGGTGCCACACGCCGGCCTAGGTTACCATTTCCTAAGAGTGCAAGTAAGAACCAACGGCTCCTGGGGTTCTTCAAAAGGAAAAGGGGGCCAAAGGCTCAAGTCGAAATCGAACCGACAGATGACGGCGTGGCGTGCACATCTGCAGAACTCACTAGCACTTTACCGGAAGATTGGAGTAACAGCTTGGAAGCATCACTCACAAATTTGCAGGTACGTCGGAGTGATCAGCTCCGATATCCTCCCAACTCATGAGCAGCTTCGTAGGCAGTAGACTCATGAGTGGGCTACTGCCCCCCTGCTGAAAAAAGACAGGAAAGCAAGCACAGAAAGTACAATCCAAGTGGATCCCTGTGACTACAAGGGGCACACACACACACACACCACCCCTTTCATGTTGTTTCCCTCAGCAGCTCCACGCAGGGTGAACGATACGCACTCCTATGGACAGTCGCGACACGTGCCTCGGCAGTTTTCTTACAGATTTGGGTGGATGTGGGTCAAAACCAGGGACCTTGGTTGACCTTCCGGTCAGACTACATACTGTTGGGGATGTTGGGGCTCCAGGTTTTGACCTATCCCGGAAGATGTAGCTCAAATAATGCTCAAATCCGGAAGATGCAGGTGTTGAACACGACTGTTCCAGTTACTCCATGTTACTAGTACCCTCTTGTTGAGACACAAACAGTTACCTTAGGATCTTCCTTCAGTGAGGTCCTTCCCATGAACAAATTTGAAATAATTTGAACATGTCAAGACATGTGAATTCCTAGCGGTGACAGAGAAACATGAAGAACGCCTTTTGGTCCATTGTATCCCCCTCGGTGATGCTTTTGTGGGTCACGATTTGTGTTGCTCTATGGCCCCTATGGGGCTTTAAATGTAGTTTGACTCTATTTGGTCTGGACAGGCGAGGTACGATCAACCGAAGAAAAAATTAATGAGCAAATGGACCTATGTTGGCCATTGTTGGCACACTTCATCCCGAAAAATCATAATGTAGAAGAATGGCAGGACATCCCACAGGGTTTGATATGGGAGTTCTTCAAATTTTCCTACTAAGAATCTAAGTAGGATCACATTTTATGCCAGTAGAAGCCCATGGTCAGCAGTCAACACTAAAGAGGTCATGCAATGGATGCTTCTCCAGGTTTCGCTTGATCCTACAGGGACCAGTGGACCAGGGAAACATAAGGAAACCTTGTTTAAAGACTCAAAACAGAAGGGAGATGGATCAATTACTGTATACAATAGATAACAATAGGAATCAAAAACAAAGCAAATAGGGATCAATAAAAACAAGACCAGAGAGAGGGAGAGAGAGAAGGCAGGCAGGCAGGAAGGACGGAGGGAGGGAGGGAGGGAAGGAAGGAAATGAAGGAAGCAAGCAAGGAAAGAAGAAGGAAGGAGAAGGGCAGGGCAGGAAAGGACAGGAAAGCAAAGCAGGGAGGAAGGAAGAGAAAGAAAGAGATAAACAAAGATAACACACACCAATAAATATAAAGATAAAACATAAACATAAAAAATGGAAAAGCGATGGAGCGAGAGAGAGAGAGAGAGAAAGAGAAAAAATAACACAATGAACAGCATTGGACAGAAAATACACGGTTGGAGCAGACTCTGGGGACTCTGGGAGTCTGGCTGATCACAGTCGACGCACGAACCACCAGGCACCAATCACTACAAGGCCACCACAAGGCTGTCCGCAGGTTGCACACTTGCGCCATAGGATGTTTTGCGCGAAGACAAGAGAGGAGGCTTATCAGGCATAGAGGAGGATTATCAGGCACTTCTACCTAAGGACAAAAACGTCATCAGGGGTGCAGACCGTGATGGGAAATTTCTTATCTTGTGCAACGAGGTATGGTTGAGAAAGTCAGGCTGGTCCGCGAAAGTTGCAAAATAGATGTCAAGGTCAAGAAGAGTGATGGATTGACTCTGAAAGATGAAGCAGAGTGAATATTGGATGGCGAAGGCTACGCTTGAGTACGGAGACACGGCTGGCTGTTCACGGAGGGTTCCATGGGCACTCCGCCAAGATGAAGACGTACTAACGTTAATGCCGCTTTTAAGAAGAACTGAACAGAATCTTAGCCCTCAAGGGCT